TGGGGCAAAAGAAAGCGGAGTAATCGACGGTGATCGAATTTATAAATCAAAAGGACCTTCCGTACACAGCTCGCACTCAGTACATTTTCGCCGCTGAGTTGGAAACAGCTTGTATTAGCAATACCAACAATGATCTGTGAGCTTTAATTACACGGAAAAAGTTCTACTCTTGTTTAACTTTCCACAGGATTAGAAAATCTCTCCTGGCCAAGGCCCTTCAAGTTCAGGAATTTGTTCATATATCATCATATGAAATAATTTCCCTTCCTTCTCGCGACTGAAGACCAGAGCTATGCCCTCTTGAATCTGCAAAATGGAAAAGATTTGCAATTAATTAATAGTAAGGCACAAGGCGGACAAAAAGACAAGGTTGCCATTCACTGGAACTAAAAACAATTGACTGTTCCTCAAGCAATTATCAAAGACCTTTCATAGCTTCACAATCACGTAACTTTTTTTGCACGAAATAACAATATTTCCTTTATTTCCATTTTCGTTGTGTTACCTTTAGGAAAAAAATCAATCGAGTGTAGACTATTCTTTCTGGATAAAAATGTCTTGAGTTTATGATCCTCAAGAAACCCTGAGGCTGCCTCAAAATAAATTTCCTCTTGCCTAGTCCCAGTACAGCGTTTCTCCAGTCTCTCTCGGTCAGTTCACTTCGGTGACGTATTTACGCTTGGACCATGTGACCCGAAACGCTTTGTCCGCGCCGAATAATGAGGTCTAGGGACTAGGCAAAATTTCCTCGACTTTTCATAGCCTGAGAAAACAGCAGACATTTCGAGGTGCCTCCCGGGAAATGACGTCTGAGAAATGAGCGTAGAAATTTCATACTGATGACGCATCACTATCCAGATCTGGGTAGAGCTTCTGATTTGTCGTGCTGCGGGAAATTTGCTTCAACCAATCAGAAGCACTATCGAAAAAAATCCCATTACTAATGACGCGTCACTACCCAGAGCTGGGTAGTGCTTCTGATTGGTTGAAGCGAATATTTGCCGCGGCACGACCAATCAGGAGCACTACCCAACTCTGGATAATGACACGTCATCGGTATGAAGTTTTTGCGCTTGCAGACGTCATTTCGCGGGAAAACCAGTGATGGCGTCGCGAAATGTCGGCTGTTTTCCGAGGCTAGACTTTTCGAAGACTTAGCTAAGAACTAAGAAATTTCAATGACGTTCTACAAGGAATTCCCTGGCTTTTTTTTTCGACCTATAAGGGAGAAAAAAGCTACCTGATAGAGTGGTTTTCGTTTGAGTGTCGTAAAACCAAAACCAAAGTAATTACTCTGGCCAATCACATAGGACACAGACAATACATTGAACCAATCAAAACTCGAAGTAATTACATGTGGCTGACGCAAAGCGCGGGAAAATGCATGCGAGCGCGTCACAATTGGCTTTGGTTTTACTTCTGATTGGATGAAAAGGTGGCGCGAATCTTTTAAGCCAATCGCATCGTGTAGAAAGTGCAAAACCAATTACTTTTCGACACTCAAATGAAAACCGCTCTAGTACTCGTTTCTATACGGCACTTACCTCTGCTTCCCAACCCGGGTCTGGAACGAAAATGTGAGTCACCCATGTTTGTTTGCCTTCTGGCGAGAACCACCTTGATATGAACACCAGATACCATCATACCATTCATCTGAGAAGAGCAGAGAAAGCTTATCAATGAAATTTTACTTAAATTTTCTCTTTAAAGGCATCTTTCTAACAAAACATTTAGTAATGACGCAGGGTGAGACAGTCAGGATACTTGCAGAAATAGCCAAGCAAAAGTTCACATCAGTCCCCGGCCGGAAGGAAAAGTGTACCACTTATCAAACTCGAAAAACGTACGGCAACAGTATTAAAGCCGGAAAACCGACAACTGAAGGGTGCGGAGGGCGGAAAAAAGGTGCAACTGCTGTAATTCGCGAAAAAGAGGGGAAAAGGTGTCAGGTTCAGGGAAACGCGCCAAAAGTTTAAAGTGTACATCTTGGGTAGTTCTGATAAATTGGATATTTTTGAAGACGATGTTATCTGCGCGGCGTGTGATTAGGACCTCTGAACATTTTTATACTAAAGAATCTCGACTCAATGTCAAACGAAATGCTTTTTCGCGTGTTGGGGTCAAAATTTGGAATGGGATACCTCAAATTCTTAGAGAAAGACCGAAAAAAGCTTTTCAAAGATCATTAAAAGAAATGCTACTCGATATCCTTGAAACTGAAGACTCCCATATTGATGTGGGTACGATCATCGTGAAAATGAAAAAGTAATTTTCTTGTCCTTTATTTTCATTTTATTTTATTTTTAAAATTCCACTTTAATATTGTCCTTGCATTTAAGTAGAATAGTATCTATTTAATGTAAAATATATCTATATAATGTAAAATATATATACTTATATAACGTCTAATTTCTTTGTATTTGTCTAGTTTGTAGTAAATTATGTAGCCTGGCCTGCCTCGAATAGCCTCGCTAACTGCAGGCCAGTCCAATGTATCCTTTGTTATATTTCCAAATTTACATAAAGTTGAAAGTTGAAAGTTGAAAAGTTGAAGTTTAGGACAGAGCCAAACCTTAGCAATAGCTTTCAATTTTGGCAACTTAGCTTTGGTTTATAGAAGTTAGCACTTTTTGTTTTAATCTTTTCTAATACTATGCATATGTCTACTACATTAGTTCTTAAAATAGAAGCACACCTCTTCGATAGCATTTTCTGCAGCGTCGAAAGATTCAAAAGTCACAAATCCTTGGCTGTGGAGAAAAACGGATATGCTGTTGACTGTGTAGTAAAACTGTTAAAGGCATGCAGAACGAACTTAAGAAGACTTTTTCTCTACTCTCCGAATTCCTTGACCCCTTGAACGTATCTTCAGCCACCTTACAAAAATGTATATCCACTATTTAGTGTTTAGTTTAGTGAGAATCATCCGGATAACATTTAACCCTTGCTTCTTTCAAGGAAAGATAAATATCGTTCTAACTTGAAGGGATGTTAAATACTATTTCTAGAAACACAAAGAGATAAGTGATCCGAAACGCTCAAACTGCATCAGCTTTTGCAGAACTTTCCTTATCCCTCACACATCCAGAGCGGCGGATGATATCCTATGATGTGGCCTTGCAAATGAAACTTCTTTAACCGTTCTTTCATGTTTTACCACATAATTTGAGTCTGTGGATGAAATTCTCATGGTGTGACCAATCAAATGAAACATCCACAGCAGTACTTTGATGAGGTACTATTTGTTCTTCAGCATTTCTAGATAATATAAAATTTGGGACTCTTTTTGTTTAATGCTCATTATGAGTGTTTTCAGGAGTAATATAATATTTTGAAAAACAAGAATGCTCTTACAGCAGCGTTCAGTCTCGCTTGCTTGGACATTAGATCGAGAAATAAGGCGATTAATTCTACACGAAACAGGATCTACTCGCTAAAGGTTGTTTACCTCCGAATTTATCGTCGTCGATACTTTTTATTTGTTTCTGAATTGGTTTAGTACGCGCGTTAGCGACGACCGGAAAAACGTCCGCGGTCGTAGGCTATACGCGTATGTAAATAAATACACGAAAATTCAAGGGCCTCGATTCCAGAGAAATTACATCATTGCCAGAGATCAAAGAAGTGATTTACATGGCACGTCATTTCAATCATCGCCGAAAATAAACCACATGCTCATCACAAGAGTCATTTGCATACAATGAAAGTCTACAACAACCGACCATCGCAGTTTTGCTAATTAAGATTCTTATTTTTTTTCCGACCTCTCAGTAATTTTCACTTGTTCCAAAGTAATCAACGCTTTGAAGAGATAGAACTCGTGGACTGACACATTTCGGAAAAGCTTTAAATTAAATCTCTCCTAAGCTTTCTTCAAAAAGCATGCGTGGCTTCGATCGCGCAACGATTCTTATTCCTAGTTTCCACGGTCCACGCTAGGAACGCCTGGCACAATGACCCCCTTTTGTGTCCTAAATACGAAGAAAAATACGTTGCAGATGATGAGTCTCGCTGCTTACGCAAGCGAGACTAACTAGATGAACGCACGCCCACACTCTAGTCTGTGTGAGGTTGCAGAAACTAACATTACCTTCTGTCCTTTTCAAAGTTGACTCGCTGGACTTTCCCTGAAATGTGCAAAAAGGACATTTTAAAGGAGTTATGTCACGGTATTCCACATTTTTGGTTCAGAACTAGGCTCACACGCAAAGCTTAGGGGCAAGCGTTTGGCGTCCATCGCTTTCTTAAAAATTTACGGGTGAAACCCCAACGCTCGTGCTTGAGCGACCAAACAAAGATCTTGTTTGTAAGATATACTCCTAATCACTCTCATATAATGTCTTAATAACTAAAGTTACAGAGCACTTCCTTTGTCAGTGACCTGTCAACTCACCAAATTTAGTAAATGATTCCTGAAGAATTTTCTCCGTTAAACCATACCCTTTAACAAAGATTGTGTTACCCTGTAAGAATAAACTTTGTAAGCGACACGTTATACATTAAAGACAATAGTCTTTAAAATTATATAAAACGTAAAGAAACGAATGGTCAGTGTATTTAGCACTATCTACATCTATCGCATTTCCCTCTATATGCGCGAGCAACCTCGATTAAGTCCCACCCTTAAGCGGTTACTTTGAGCAGTGAAGTAGATTGACAAGCAATCTCCTCTGTAAGTTAAGTATCACTTGCGCAAGTCTCGAGTCTCGAACTCCGAGTTGAGAAAAACAAAAGGTTCCCTGGTCACTAATCTCTCGCGAAACAACGAATAGCAATCTTCTTGCGTAGAATGCAAATGAAGTTGTGGGCATTCGTAGTTCACTATTTTTCGTAAAAACAGGTCTCAAACTGAAACAAAAAAGGCAACCGTTTTTAAGGACTTTTCAAGGACTGTTTCAAGGACCACATTTGATTTTCAAGACCACCTACCAGGAAAGTAATTTAACAGATTGAACACAAATGCACATTCTCAGTCCATCCTAACAGGGCTTAAAGGCTTG